TCCTGAAAAAGACATATTGCAAGCAGAACTTAGGGTCTTCTGTAGGTTGAAGCCTCCTTACATGATCCTTAAAAAACAGATCTTTTAAAAAACTGGCCCTACTTTTCAGTAAAGATAGTTGGAAACATGCTGCTCTTCATCCACTTTCTTAATATTTGGCACTGGAACACCACTGCAAAATCTGACTGTATTATACTCATCTGCTGGTAGGCTGTATATGTAAGCATATGTTTACTTCGGTGACGCATCATTTACTGTTTGATACAAATGTTGCCCTTAAGTATTTGATAATTGACTATATTGTCTATATGTTTCTTTTATATATATTATATATTCATTATCATTCATTATTGAAAAAGTTTGATAATTTTTTACACTAAATTGCTTTATTGTGGCTCAGGGTATAAAGCAAAGGTGCTACATTTCTTTTTTATTCTAGGATGGAAGAAGGCTTTGAAGTGGTAAGAACAGGAATCTTTGAGATAATAGTTAGCTTTCTTCAACTGCTTTCTTGGATTATCAAAGAAAGTTCTAGATATTTCAGTTTTGAAGGTTGATGAGCAAGCTGTGATAATGACATCTGAATCTTATTCATGATTTTAAAGACAGGAGCTATTCTAATGAAAATAGTTACCATCTGTTCTGTAGAAATCCTTGCCTTGCCTATAGGCATCTGTCTCCATGGCTTTCTTAATTCTCTCTGACTCTCAATCCTGTACCTTCCCACATCTGTGCCTTGCTTAGGTTCTTTCCTTGCTGTCTGTTGGCCAACATCCTTTTTTAGAGTCCCATTTCTCCCAGAAATATTCCCAAAGCAATCACATCCCCATAATCCCTTAACTAAATGCCCCATTTCCTTTTTTGCTTTAAATGTTTTTGTTTGGGTTTTTTTTTAATTATTTACTTGGTTTTAATATGAGATTCTTTGGTCATATATGAGTTTTAAATGATTTTAAAGAGTAACTCAAACAAAATGGGTATCTTTGTCATCCAGAGGGTTACTGAAGTCAAAAAAGAGTAAAGCACAGAATTGGTTTGGTTTTTTAGTTATGATCCCTATTATTTTGAAAGTATTCTTTTCCTGGCAAGCAGATAAATGTATTTGCATTCAGTGAGGCTTCTGAAAGCAGTGTAATTATGGAACACAGTCCAAAACACAACAAGATGTACAGCATTTTCAAAGAGCTACAATTACCAGAGAACTCCTGCAAGAGATATGTCATACAGGGAAAATGAGGAGCATGTAGAAACTTTAAAACAAGAGTGCTCAGGGTGGAAGTTGTTCGCATTTGATGTCATTTTAGTATATCCGTGATTCATGAGGGAAACCTTTTTTATTCTTGCGTAATATATGCCTGCTATCCTCATGCGACGAATTTCATAGAAACTCTCCAAGTAAAGACTTGTTTCACATCTCTCTTGTGAATTACTTCCATTGAAGACTGGGTATTTAAATCACTCTTAGTAACTTATTAAAATATTTTAACGGATCATTTGAATCACAATCTTCTATGAGTTAAAAGGTATTTTTGCTATGATTTTATGCGTGATACTCTATTATATTGTCATCTCTGGAACGATCCCAAACTTATCTATACAAGCCACTTCACAATGGCAACTACTCATGTTTATAAGATGAATAGAGTATTAAGACATAATTCCAGCATGCTGGCAACTGTGGAAGGCATTAATTCCTTAGCAAAGGCTTGTGCATATGAAGTAAATCAGCCACACACCTATTTTTCACGCTTCTTATAAGGGAACATAATCTTACATGCACGCATTTTATGACTGGCTAAGGACAACGGCTAAAAATATCAAGCTATGTATAGATGGTCATTTACTTTAACTGTCACTTACCCCAGTCATTGTTGTTTGACCATATCTTTAGTTATTAACAGAGTTCTCTACAGTATTAAGTTTTTACTGCTCTTTCAACATTTTTCTATCAGTGTAAAATTAGTATGATTTAATACTAGTAATATTTCATGTTAGTATTTACAATAGTAGCAACTATACCAGACAGCACTTAAGACCAATTATTAATGAATTCAATAAATAGAATTGCCAGTCAAAAAGATATTACTTAAACATCAAATATTTCAAATAATATGCAAATGCACTTTAGACTTCCTTTTGATGTAGTTTTGATTTTCCCAGGCTAAAATCATGATTCCACCGTCTTACCTAAGTATTTCTTGTAGTAGATCTGAAAAGAGGAAGCCAAAGTGCTGTCAGAACTTCCCTGCTTCAGTGTTGAATTTGAATTACTTTTATACACTGACCATTTTTTAAAAGATTTGAGATGCGGGTCTTCCAGCCTAAACTTTGCTCTTCCCTACTGGTTTCCTCATATATTGCCTAAGCCAGATACAGCCTCTCTGCACAGCCAGACAACTTTTTGTCTGGACAACACCAAGTATTGGGCTTTTCCTTAGGAAAAGGTTAAAGAGCTGTGAGATCATAAGGTGCAATAACACTGAACTGCACATTACTGAGAATAGGCCAGAAGAGTCAGGTGACTAAAAGCAGAGAAACAGAATTAAACTACCAATTAGAACAGAAAATACTAAAAATGGATGGTACCTGCTGTAAATGAGTCACTACTGACAAGACAGTTCCCATCCAGCAGAACCTCCCCCCTGAACACCACAGTCCATATTCTACAACATGGGTTTGTATTGACCCTTTTCTGTTTATCGGGTCTTCTGTTTACATGTTTTCTTCAATCTAGATGTCTCTAGCCCTGTAGAGCAGATATTTTTAACTTTCTATTTATTTAAGGCAGCACATTCCATCTCACTTTCTGTACTGCTCTTTGTTAACGCTCTCAGAAGATGACTAAGTGGTGACTGGGAAGGGGAAAAAAAGAAAAGATGGTCTGAGATTTGTTGTTATTTTTGCCAGGCTTCATTTTCCTAAGGCAAGATCTATACCTATTGGCTGGCACAACAACTAAAATATCTTTCCTTTCAGGAAAATATATCCTTTACACCGCTTTCAGCACTGAAGCTCTCTGTTAACAGGAAAGATACACTATGGGTGAATATCTCAGACTGCTCATTTATGGACCTCAGTTACATTACAGGTGCCAAAGTCCAAACAAGCAATTCATTTATATCACTCTTCAGTGCTGACATTTTTTCCCCAACAAAGTTTCTTAATTGTTCATGCAGAAACATTGTCTGAAAAGCAATGCACCTTCCACCCGCCAAAGGTATTCCATGTTTCCAGCTTGAAATATGGAGGTGCCTTATCTACATAGGGACACAGTCCCCTAAGTGCATCATGAGTATATTAAAACATGATGACAGAATTTGAGTTCAGCAGAAATCAGGGCAGCTTTTTTCCTTTTCATGCAAAACCAAATATTAATGATGGGGTCACTCATCTGACAAGTGCCTAAACTCAATACAGGACCAAATACTCACAAACATCTTTATAGCACACCTTTCCTATTAGCAGTTGTAGGTCATGCAGGCTGGACACAGCCTGTCAAACAATTCATCAGGCCTTTGGGCTACTGTCTGACATGATTTTACCTGAAAGTTTCTCAGACTTTGGCAGGGATCAGGTTGGACAAATTAGTGTGATGGTCAATGACCTGCTCTGCAGTTTGCCGTTCCCGAAGGACCTCCTGACAACTTCTTCTCATCAGGCACGATGGGCGCGTGGCCACAGTACAGATACACATCTGGGCTCATGATGGGCATCCACAGTCTTGAGCAGACAGAATCAACAGCATATGTGCCTTGTCACAGAAATTTTGACCATGTGATGTGTTCGTTTCTGGTCATGTGGTCACTATATAGTTAATTACTGCAAAATAGTTTAATAACTGTACTAATAAAATGAAACGAAGTACTGTACATTTCATACCCTTAATTATTATCAGAATGAGGTATGAATGCTACTATCATGTTTTGATAAATATTTAGGGGCATTTTTTTAAGAAGAATAATGTAAATTAATAGTTTATAAATAGCTTGAATTAAAAAAAAAGATTTGAAAACATTTAAAGGCCAAATTATGATTAATTGTATAATTTACATTTTTAAGGGGAATAGCAGGCTCTTGTATAAGTTATAAATTATATTTTTTATTCGAACTTTGTTTGAAAACAGTGAAGCTTGCAAAATGTTCAATGAATTGATATGATAATTCTTCAAACAGGAATTGTCACAGAAGTTACACAGTCTCATCAGCATGGAAGAGTTGCTCATCAATGCTTATTTGGGTCCCATTCTAGTAAACTACTTAAGCATATCTGGGTAGTCTTAGAGTTAAATAAGTAGGAATTTATGCTTTGCTGCATGAGGATCTTAGAAGAAACAAGTTAATAAATTGTTACATTTTTCTCCACAGTCAAATAAAGGTTGAAAAATATTCACAAAACGAAGAAAAAATCTTTTGTATCTGACACATATTGCCATTCTTGCATCATATAAAAATGTGATTTAAAGGGTAAGGTGTCCTTATTCTTGCTGCCAAGATCTATCACCTACATCTGTCTAGATCTATTGATTTCACTCGGTAAACCAATGTATCTTACTGCTACCAAGTATAGTAAAACATACACATTTCTGAGTTGTGAACTGGCATTTTTTTAGGACATCTGCTTAAATGTATTAGTCTCTGGAATACTAGGAAATAAAGAGAGACAAACAGACCTCTCTAGCCATGTTCTCCTGTTGCATTTTCTTAGAAAATGATTTGCAACTATCAATAGATATTTACACAAGAGAAAGAGTAACTTCTGCAGTCACCTTTCTTGCATAACTCTGCAATAAAGAAGTGCTTCAAATATTTACAGAATTAATGCTTAACTGAGAAATTGAAAATATACTGTTGGTACTTATTGAGTGGCAGCTGGACTGTTCAAATATGGCCATAACAGTAAAAAATAATCACGTTTAGTGCTTTATATCCTCTAAGCTCCTTGCAAATATTCATTACAATGTTTCCAAAAGAGTGAACAAGAAAAAATCACTTAGACTTACCCACATTTAATCTGCCTGTGACTTCCCCGTTTGAATTGCGAGCATTCACTGTCACATTGTGAGTAGACTGGAGAAGCAGTGATGAGTCCTGAAGTATGGAGGGAAAAAAAAAGTAGATTCACAGAATAATTAGAAGTGTTAACAATTTTCAAAACTTAGTCTAGTATTTATATTAACTCAGTCACTGAAAGAATTTTGTAGCTACAAAACCATCCACAGATGTCATAGAATGTTTTGGGCAGGTATTTTTGATTACTTCAACTATGTCAGATTTAAAATAAGAAAAAAATTATAGAGAATACTTCAGGTGAACAAAATCTGTGTTACTGGCCCAATGAACACGGTTGCTAACATTTTATCGTTTGGAAAAAAATGCTCAAGTACTAGATTTACTACATTTCAATACATAATTGAGACTCCTAGAAGATAGCCATTTAATTGAAGTGTGAGTACCCCACTTTGCGAATTTATACTGTCATATTAATTTGGTGAGAAACGTGCATGTGCATTCTGCTTTCTCAATGGTCCATGCAGCCTCTATGCTTAGGCGTGATTTTGGCACCTGGCACTGACTCTCCTGGCAAGGAAACTCGGACAGTGGAGAAAGTGGCAGGTTGACTAGCTCAAAGCTAACTTTAATAGACGACAGTACAGATAAAGAGTGTCAGTCTAAATTAAATAATCTCCCTGTCCGCCACTCAGCAGGATGACAGAAGTATATCAGCAGACTGAACAGCATCACTTGCTTGTCCACATCCTTGCACCATGATTTGAGCCTAATACACCCTATGCTGCTCCACGTCTGGTGTCCCAGTATACAAAATCACATCTAAAGGTCACAAAGCAATGGCGCTCATATTCAACTTAACTCACCTCACAGGCTGCATCACAGCTGGGACATTTGCAGAGCAATCAGAGCCTCATACCTACCCATCATTCTGCACTACTTATGGAAGCCAGGGCATGCCAAGCAGGTGTAACTGGTATCTTCATTCATCCCTGCCAACCTCACCACAATCCAGACTAGCTATGTAGGCAATTCAAATTTTCATGTCATTCTTAGACTGCAGCCAGCGTGGAATTACTTCACCAAAATCAAAACATCCCCTTGTTATGGGTTGGTGTTGTGCTTGTTGAACTCCTCTGAGGTGATGTAATTTCCATTACTTATTCCCAGACCTTCCTCTCAAATTCTCTGTACTTCAGGCTTGTTGGAGCCTCCCCAAACTTCTCCTTGTCTTGAAAAGCAGATGAGTAAGTGTTTTGAAAGACCTAGCTGCCCGCTGTGCTCCATCAGACTAGATATATGGACAGTAATGAAACAGGTTCATGGCAAGAGACCTGGCAGGGGTCATTTGGAAGTGTCCTAAAACTTCGTGAGGAGGTCACTGAGTAGGTTCTTCTTCTTTCTTCAAATTACCACCTGAATTGTCTTTAAATGCAGCTAATTTTCAGGGAGATCATACTGGCCACTGTCTTTACTTGATTTTAAGTAGCGAAAATTATCTGGGAACAAGAAGTCTGATCACGCTCATTTGGATCAGCAAATTGTAGCCACACTGGTAGACTTACAACGAGGGGAGAAGTTTTTTGTAGTACAGGTGCTTTCATACTAAAGCATCCTATCTAAAAGACAGGAACCTAGTAACTGGTAAGAGTGCCTAAGTAGATCTCAGTTGCCAAAGTATCAGGGAATATGTGATATGAAGAGGGTATTAGCAAGCTGCCTGCTTGTGACCTCAGAGGGGATACTCATTCCTAGATAAATAAGTGAGTTTCTAACTACTGGACCAGTCTCTTTCACATATATGGCTTCTGGTACTTTTTCTGGATTCAAAGGAGACTATGCAACACCTTGATGGGCTAACCCCTGAAAATCACTCCCAAGTCATGTTTCCATCGTAATTTAATGCTTAGAGTATGAGATAACCTGAAAATTCTGAACACATTTTATGTGAAGCATTTTACTACAAACACTTATCTAGTAACAGTGGTAGCAGCAACACGCAGTTTGGAGTCCATTTTCTACTTTTTTTTTTTTAAAAAAAGGATATCTTACAAGTAGGAAGATAGGATATCTCAAAAGAAGTCACTAAGTGAGGAAAATAAATGAATCTCATTTTGTAAATTATATCAGGAAAAAGTGAAAGCTAACAGAATTAACACAAATAATGAAAAGTCTTAGGAAAAAAGTAAGCAGTGTGTTAGAATGAACATTAATGGTAACAAGTTAGTATGAAGTGGAAAAGGAAGGTCAACAAAGATCAGGTAAATATATTACATTTAAGTACACGTGCTAAATGACCCACAAATCTGGGCATCTTTATTACACTTATTTGACTGCCGCTGGTTGATTTAAAAAATAAGTTAGTAATTTGTAATATCAAATGTAAGTGCGAATAAACTGTATTCTAGACTTCCAGCTTCCACACACATGTTGTTGACTAATTAAAATCTAGTAACATATTTATAAATGCTCATCTTTTATCTTTCAATGAATATGTATTAGCTAAGATGCAACAGTGTTGCCCACAACACTGTGTTGGACTTATAATGAAGGCATAAACTTGTAATAGGCTCCAGAGATGATGCACAGCAAGTAGATTTTCTGCTACGTATTTTCTTAGCACTTTGGAGACCTCATTAGGTGAGAAAAGCTGTTAGGAGACTGCAAGGAGAAAACTATTAAGGCAAGGGAGAAAGCTGCTATGATAGCTGTGAGTGGCCCAATTCTCTAACAGACAAACTTAGAAAAAGAAATCATAACAAATATGCAATTTTATGAGAATAAATACATAGATGGCACTCAGGAGATCAAGCTACAGGCAATTAAGCCTCTAGAGAGTTCAAATATTTTAAAAAGCAAGCAAACAAACAAACAAAAAACCTCTGATGAATTATCAGTTCATAGGGGGCAGAGACATGCAGTAGCCAGAAGGCTCTAATTAATGCATGCTCCTAATGATCACAATGGGTCATTAGACAGCTAAGCTTATACTAGATGCTGCTACACCTTTTTCTTCCTATATTGTACATTCCTAATGTATTAAGAGCTGGAAGGAATACTAAAAGAGCACGAATAGTAGCTTAACATTGCATAACGATTTTTTGGGGCAGAGGGAGTTCTTAAGTATTAGCTATGCTGGTCTTAAAAAGTTACATGTCTTATTGGATAAACAACCTCAAGGGAAATTCATTTAAGGACATAAATAGTTTTCCCACTGTCTATGAGGCAGAAAAGAACACAGCATAAGAAACAAAATGGAAATATAGATTTAGCAATGGAATTTCACAGTCTAAGTAAGAGCTGTTCCTGCTACTGGAAATACTTGTTGCAGAAAGAGAGAAAAAGAAAGGCTTAATAGACATAAAATATGTTGGCATTGCTTAAATTTCAGTAATTGAGCATTTTAACAACCTCATCCTAAATCCTATATCAACCATGTTTTCTGATAAATTTATTTACATTTTCTCTTGCTATAGTGATACAAACACTAAGTTTTTCCCTAGCTTCAGAAAAGTCTCATAGCTGGCTATTTCTTGTAATGACTTGCTGAGGATGATTACATGTTTGAAGTAACTAGAGAGCCATATTCAGCTTTTACTCTCATTGAAGAGTACTTTATTCAATGAAATGTCCCACTGGTTGATGACACTGTTCATAAAACATGGCTTTATTTTGTGAGAGTTTAGATTACAGACAATAGTTCTGAAAAATATTAATTTTGTTGGCCAGAAACAGATATCGCTCTACAAAAAATTCACCAGAGTAAGTTTCAGAGTTCACCTGAATAATTAAAAACCAATTCAGATTCTCTCTTTCTTCCTCTAAACCCTGTACTTCAATAAAAATCTTTCATACCATACCCATTCTCAGACATTTTAAAGTTAATCTGCTTGATAAATATTTTCTTTGACAAGTATGTTATTCCTTTTTTACCTCAATAATAGTAATACAAATTTCTGTCTATGTATACAAGATTCAATCCTAAATCTTCCCATTTAGTCTGTATATTTTATATACATAAATATATAAAGATCTCATACAGTTAATATAGTTGTCCTAGAAGTGTCAAAACCTGAACTTATTAGAGAAATTGTAACTTTTCCAATAAGATCCATTAACTTTAGAGATATTTAAACTATTCCATAATGGATGAATAAACAAAACAAGCAGTTTCACAGGGAAGCCTGCATTAAAAAATAACCTCAGTAAAAATAATGAACAACTTTCTACACACTCTCTAAATTTTAGCGTTGCTTATATACAATGACCTTTATCATTCCTTTTTGAGCTATTTCTTATCACATGCCTAAAAGAAAAATGTTAATTTTGCCACAGTATCAGAACATTGACCTAATGATCATGCTTGTAAAGTATGCAAAAATATGTGTGTATACATGTATACACACACATACACATATATATATTTCCATGACAGGTGCCTGGACGTTGCCTAAATTCAGCTGTTCGTAAGTGCATTTTATTTTAGCATTACTGAAAGATTATCTGCTTACCACTCGAGAATGGATTTCTTTGGCATAAAGAGGGAATAAGAATTCCGATTCCCCTTCCAGACGAAGGCCTTCTTTTGTAACACGCAGGTGTCCCATTCCAGTCTGAGGAGAAGATGCAAGAATTATGCACATTTTATTATTGTTGCTGTATTTATTTTTTGTTCTTTTCATAAACTGTAAATTTCCAGAGTTGCCTGCCTCCAGTCTATTGATAAAGATATCCGTACTAATGCACTTAAAATTTTGAGAATTCCTCATTTCTTCCAGGAGTATTTTTCTTTAAGAAATTGTAGCTTTCAAGAAAAAGTTATTAAAGTTGGGATTTTTTTTTTTTGGAGGAAAAAATACAATATAACAGTCATTAACTTAAAAAGAAGTGCATTTGTATTGGCTGTGCTGAAATAGTCTTTATACTTGTCTTCTAAAAATGTCATGAACAATAAACTTTTACACATGACTACTCACATAAAACAAACCTTATGTTAACATCTCAAGGTTTATTCTATCAATAATTTATTTCACACAGAATGTAATGCTTTTAAGCCTATTAAAGATACAAATAGGGATTTTTATTTGCTTCCATTTTCAGTAATTACTTCTTTCTTTTTAATTCATTTTTCATTCCTTAGTTTATTTTTTTTCTCCTCTAATTGTAGGTCAAGGCTCTATCTCTCACTCTATCATCTTCCTTTCTCTCTGTCACCTGTTTGTCAGATTTTGTACCTTTCTTATTCTCTCTTAGTTGCTCCCTCCCGATTTTAGCCCAGTTGTGCTTTCCAGCCTGTATCTTATTTCATTCTTTTCACTTTCTTTCATCATTATCATAGAATTGATAATGTGAAAAATGAGTGAGGAATTACTTCAGAAAGTACATCTGAGGACTTGCAGGCTTCAGCTGCAAGGTATGTCACAGGTATTTAGCTAATTTGTAAAGGATTCACCCCTCCCCCTGCCATAAAAAGCGAGAGAAAACTTGGCAAAAAATTTGCAGCCTTACAGCTCGGCCACACGCAAAAATATTTGAAGTCAAGTGCCTCAAACTACAAGGAGTAGGTGGGAGGACTAAATAATAAGCAATAAATCCAAAAAGTATTTTCACTCCAAATATTTTTCAGGTTGTTCTGCATGTAAGCAGAGAAGAAGAGATACATGACAGGTCACTGATGATACATCAATAACGTTTCGTCTAATGAATTATTCCTACTGCTGAAAAAGTTGTAACTTTAAGAGACTGTAATTATTTTCAAATATGGTATGTTCTCGCCAATGAGCTTTTTTTTTTTTTTTTAATATATATACATAAAAATAATGCTAAATAACATGTCTAACCAGCCTTCAACGAAGGTAGCTATTTTCTTTTAACAGGCTTGAAGAGACACAAAGAGAGAAACAAGCTTTGCTTAAAATCCACAAGGTAGGAAATATTCATGTCAGCAGTTCACTCCACTGGAGATTCACTTCACAACTGCGATTCCTCCTCAGCAAGGATTTATTTCAGGAGATAAATAAGGCTTTTAGAATAGCTATTTATGGAATCTTGTTATTCAGTGTCAAGTATTTTACTGCTTTGAAATACATAATGTACTGGCTTTTTCTCAGTGGAAGAAGATAAAATTTCTAAATTCTAGATCATTGCAAAGCTTTTGAAAAGTACCTCATATATACTGATACATCTCACGAGGCAAAACTAAAATAATACCTTATGGCTTTCATAATCACAATTCCTAGGCAGCACTGAGCAATTTAGAAATATGTTTTTGTAGTGAAGACTATGGACAGTTTTTTCTAACTTGTAACACAAAACAGAGATCACTTCAACACCATAAAGTCACACAGGTTTAAAGACAAACACTTTTGAAAAATATGACATGAAATATCAGGATATTCTAAAGAAATATCACTAACAAGTGGCTCTCATTTAATTAACTAAATTTAGGATCTCATTATTGCTCTGATCTCATGCCTCTTCTCATCAGGTGAAAGTAGATTATACTAACCATCAGGTTTAAACACAGTTTGCATATTTTTAATGGAATATAAGGAACTAAACAAACAGTATATTATAGAGTAGGTATAAAAATGACATTGGAATTTAAGAAGGCAGAGGAAGAAGTAGCAATTAATTCTTGCTCTGAAGCAGATCGGGAAAAATTAACAAATTCCTGGGTGGCAATCTCTATCCTGCCTTTGGCTTTGCCAGGAAAAAATTTTTAGTAGTTACAAAAAAACCTATATAATTGATGTTGAAAAAGAAGATTATGCAATTTATTCAGCACACTCTAATGGATTCAGATTTTTCAGCAATGATTATTCTAAAAATGCTATATAGACAAAGGAATGTCTTTGACATCAAGAATAATATGCCATGTGACAAAATTTAGCACTTTAACTTATCTGTAAGTTCTTATTTTTCAGTAAATCCAGGATTCATATCACTCAGGATTACTTTGTATAAGTACGTCCTCAAGTATGTCCTATTTTCTTCATCAGATATTTCATTGAAGCACTGACACAAAGCTCACATTCTCACACATTTGAATAAAGCCTCCTTATCCAGTCTCATTGACCACTCAGGAAGTGCAAAACCATGGAAATTTAGACTTGTGTTACCTGCATAAATGACTATCTGTGATAACGAATAGATAAACTCTGTAACATGCCTGAGAACAACAAAAATATGGATTTCATATAATGATCCTCACTTCTGTTACCATTGTGACTGTAAACAATTATTATTTCCCTAATACCACGATATTTGAGCATCTCAAGATTGTAAAAGTACTGAGTTAAGCGGTACTGTGAGATAGGACAATTCTATTTTCCCCCTTTTATAATTGGCAAATTGAAGTTACATGGAATGTAAAAGAGAGGGATTTAGGATAAACAACCATCCTAATGCACTGAGATCCAATGATAAGTTCCATAAAAAGGAGGAGTATAATAGCTACACATAATGTTCTCTCAAAAACCACTCTGCTTCTTACATTACCATTTAGGAGAAGCCAATTATTATTTACTGAGTATTGTGACTTCCTCAGTGATGAACAACCTTGATGCTTTCAGTTTCAAAGATTTGATTCTGTTCCTATTAAAATCATTGAATAAAAAATATTTCTATCGACTTGAGGACAGGGTCCAAATTTCAGTTAGACATGGACTTAGGTGCAGTTAATGCAATAAGCTATTGATTAGGGGCGGGGGGGGGGGGGGGGGGAAAGTGCTTCATTAAACGAAGCAGATGGGTTGCAAGTCTGACTCCTGTTATCCTGATGTTGGTGACTGTCACCGCGTGAGTGTGCTGGCCCTGAGTTGTAATACATTGTTGTGCATATAACCCTGAGGCTCATGTTTTCTAATTTGTCAAAGCCCTGAGTGAGACAGGGACTGAGCTGTATAGAAGAGGAGGATGAAATGGTATCTCTGTAGACACTGAGCAGATTTTGCTATTGATGCGAGGAGTTGACTGGCATAGGAACTCCTGGCAGCTGCCAAACCCTTATGCACCGAAGATGCGATTTAGCATTAGTGTTCGCAAAGGTATGACCAGTTTTACTTTCAAAACTGCTAGGCAGATTCTAATTGGAGTAACAGGATATCTTCAACTGCACTAGAATCATTTTTTATCAGTTGAAAATGCTCCCCAGGAGATAAGTGCTTGTAGAAACAGAGTCAAGGCCTTTTACAAAAAATTCAAGCTCTGAGTGGGTTCAAGCCTCAGCTTGAAATCATGGTCTAAAGGGTATTTGCCAGCTATTCAGTGAATTATCTACATAGGGATACTCTAAACCGGCTGAAATAAGTAGCCACCACTACTACTAGAATCCTAAGATTCATTGTTCTATGGAGCATCTGGATGGGAGGACCATCGTGGATGGGTTATCTTAGACTCCAGACACAACAAATGTAAAATATTTTTCCTCCAAAATAATGGGAAGCAGTTCCATTCTCCACAAAGCCAGTAGAGAAGTGCAGTATGTCCACAAGCTATGGAAAGACCTTTAATTCTCTTTCAGAGGATCACAGAAGGACTGAGTCCTTCATCAGGACCAAAAAGTTCCAAGTCATACTGATGGTGTGGTGGTATGATCGCCGCCTTCTGGTTATGAATATCTGTGTTGAGGAAAATACAGACACAACTGGATAAACCAAGTTTGACAGCATTGGTATGGCTAGTGCTAAAGGCCTGTCTTGTTAAAACAGGATGCAAGAACTTTTGCTCTTTCATCTGTTGTCATAGCGAAACCTGCTGCTCTGGCTCATGACAAAGAAAGTCACATGGAAAGAGCTGCACATGGCACATTGCTATGGGACTACTAGGAGTGGAAGCAAGCAGCTTCCAAGTAGCTCTAGGGCTCTAGCACTCAGTGTCTTGCTCTCAGGCAGATGAGCCTCGTGCTATGTCTTACGTAGTCAAAAAAGCATCAGATGATATATTTGGGATTTATCTCCCAAGCCAATATAATAATATAGAGGTCTCCTGCTGTAGGCACGTGGCCCTTAAAAATGAGGATGAGGCACAAGGAACATTCATTCAGTTTATGATGAGTATTTCTAGTCACCTAAATTCAATCATTAACTGTAACTTGCATTTTCCTTCCAACATAGAAATTGATACACGAGGCTCACTATATTAGGTCAACCACTCTTTTTACTATATCATCACTGTTTCTGCACCTTCTCAGCATTAGACTCAACTGCAGTCCTCAGACTCCTCTAAACAATGGAAATTAAACTTCTGATCTATGTATCAGCTAGTAGCTGCACAGGAAGATGTGTATTTTCCTCTTCTGGGGAGAGATCAGGAAAGACAGCCATATCCATATGTTAGGATGGTTACAACAATAAAGTCTCTAAGTTGATCCAAACATTAGCTTTAACATGCACTCAATTCAAATTAAAGTGGCTTCTGTCTCAGGAGTTAATAGCATGTTTGATTTGTAATACCTGCTCCCTGAATATTCAAATTTTCCAGATATTAAAAGTCCACACATGCTGTAGTTGCTGATTGGAACTGATAATGATACTAACTTCAGATTAGGGAAGATGCGGCATTTCCATTCAGATAACACCTCTTCTTACTTTCAGGATACTTAACATCCTAC